TGCCCGGGACGGGCTAGGGGCCTGACGCTTTGATATCACCGTGCCCGGGACGGGCTAGGGGCCTGACGCTTTGATATCACCGTGCCCGGGACGGGCTAGGGGCCTGACGCTAAAAACGTCTATTAAAGTATGATTTGGAGGCCTGTGAAATATTAATTTTGACCTTCAGTTACATATTGAAATTGGGGAAAGGCAGCAGATCGAGTCTGTGAGCTCTGGGGTGGGAACGCCCAGCGGGAGGGTGACAGCCTCCGACTAGCTGCCGTCTTGGGCTGGTTATGTTGGTGTCGCCTCACGGTCTGCTTCCCCCTCTCACCATGGTGCCCAGACCAGTACCTTTATGCCGGAACGACGTCAGACTTCCTGGGAAGGGATACAGCTTTCACCCGCTCCCTCGGACTCCACGACCGGCACTACATCCGAACCGACGTGTCCAAGGACTACTGGCTGAACGGTACCGAGCTCCCTGCGCCGCTGTCCTGCCCTAAACCGAACACATCGACATCACACTTATTTATTTAGCAGGCACTCCTATCCAAAGCAGGATCAGACAGTCCTTGGAGTTTTTGGGGGTTAAGGGCTTTGCTCAGAGGCCCAATGGTGACGTCGTCCTGGGATTCGAACCAGCGACCTTCTGATCCTAAGCCACTGAGCTAGAACTTGAAGAGGCAGCCTATGTGTGGGTTAGTCTTAGGCTTAGGCATAGGGTTAGGGTTAAGCTTAGGGTTAGGGTTAAGCTTAGGGTTAGGGTCAGGGCTCCTGTCCGACGGCCGGGTCCCGCTGCTTGTTTTCACAGTTTGAGTCATTACCTGCCTTCTCCTGCTGTCCAGCCTCTGTCGCCATCTTCGTCATCATCGTTACACCCTTGACTCATTTCAGGAGACTGGAGTCGATCCAGCAGGTCCTTGCACACAAAGAGATGGGGTGGGTTGGGGGGGAGGGAGGGTCGGCTCTGTTTAAGCTTAACATTAATGAGGGCAGTCAGTCCTGTAGGCCCACAGCCTTGTCACTGAGGTGTGTGACAGTTGAAGAGGACGACTTCCATTTGGGAGTTTAATGCGGTGTCTGTCTGCCTGTCTGTCTGCATGGGCGTCTGTTGTTCTGTTACGCCTCCACTGTTGACACATACTGTATCTTAACACAAACCCCCCCTCGTTCCCAAGATGACTCGGATTACCTTGGGAACAGTGCCACCCAGTGGTGTGGCTGCGTCACATGCTCCTCTCAGGGCCCATCCATGCGGTCTGGCCCGGTACCCAAAGCCGCCTTTCACAGTGCTGAGTGTGTTTCCGCCTTAGTGTGAATGTCACATGCATGACCGGTGTGGCACCGACATCTGCTTACAGCCATTAAGCGTCTATGAGTACGCCCCCCCCCCCCCCCCCCCCAGGTGCGCCTACCCTGCCCTTTAATCCTTCTGTGCAGCAGTCGTGTGGTTTTACCGCATCCTTCAGGCATGAC